AACTAAATTTAGGAACACCAAGGAGTCAATTTGGTAACTTAATCAGTTGTGAAAATTAGAAGGGTACTTTGTTCTCCTCTCACCCTTTTCTTTTTAAATGACAGATACTTCTCTTAATAAGGGAAGAGTAGGAGGAAATGGATCACAAAAGATGGAGGAGGTAACATTTTGGAAATCTGCTAAACCAGATAATTGTAGAAGATATTGGAAGACCGCTATCATGTTCCCCCTCGTCCTTTTCTTCATCAAACTAGACACACCCAATTCCAGCAACTGTTCTTTATATGTTTTAGCCTCCAGTCCCCTAATCATCTTTGTTGCTCTTCTCTGCACTCTTTCTAGAGTCTCAACATCTTTTTTACATCTTGGTGACCAAAACTGGATGCAGTATTCCAAGTGTGGCCTTATCAAGACATTGTAAAGTGGTATTAATACTTCATGTGATCTTGATTCTATCCCTCTGTTAATGCAGCCCAGCACTATGTTGGCTTTTTTGGCAGCTGCAGCACACTGTTGGCTCATATTTAAGTGATTGTCCACTAGGACTATAAGATCCCTCTCACAGTTACTACTATTGAGTAAGGTACCCCCTATACTATACCTGTACATTTGATTTTTCTTGCCTAAATGTAGAACCTTACCGTAAATGCCGGCGTACAAGGTGACCTGGCGTATAAGACGACCCCCGTCTTTATAGCCGGGCCGCATTCCTAGAACATCGTCTTATATGCTGGAAACTACCAGTATTTCCGGCATATAAGACGACTTGGCGTATAAGACGACCCCCGTCTTTGGCGCCGATTTCAGTGCTCGCGGAAGTCGCCTTATACGCCGGCATTTACGGTACTTTTTTTCACCACTGAATTTCATTTTGTTAGATAGCGCCCAGTGTCCAAGTCTGTCCAGATCCTCCTGCATCTTAAGCCTGTCTTCTGGAGTGTTGTGAGAGGAACCTTGGAGTGCTAATGGATGATCACTTAAACATGAGCCAACAGTGTGCAGCAGCAGCCCAAAAAGCTAATACAATACAATAATACAATAAACAGAGGCATAGAATCAAAATCATGCAAGGTATTAGTACCGCTCTATAAAGCCTTAGTAAGGCCACACCTGGAATACTGCATCCAGTTTTGGTCACCACATTACAAAAAAGATGTTGAGAGTTTGGAAAAAGCGCAAAGAAGAACAACTAAGATGATTAAAGGCTGGAGACTAAAACAGATGAAGAACGGTTGTAGGATTTGGGTATGGCCAGTCTAGAGAAAACAAGCACTAGTGGGATATGATAGCAGTACTCTAGTATTTGAGAGGCAAGAATCAACCTGGAATTAAGGAGAAACTTCCTAACAGCGAGGACAATTAACCAGTGGAACAGCTTGCCTTAAGACGTTATGGGTTCTTCATCACTGGAGTTTTTTAAAAAGAGACTGGGCAGCCCCTTGTCTTAAATAGTATAGGATCTCCTGCTTGAGCAGGGGGCTGGACTAGAAGACCTCCAAGGTCCCTTCCAGCTCTATTCTCATTCATGGTGGTGGCATATTCTTTCTTGTGGGGGGGAGGCACATAAAAAAGATTTTTTTTTTATAAATTTGGGACCATCCTTATTTCAGTTGAATTTATCATTAACTTCTTTATTACTTACTACATCGGTATGAACATTTATTTGCCAGTGCTCAAAAGGATAATTGATTTTTTTTCACTTAATTCTGCTTTCTCCCCACCCCCTTCAATCCAGCACAGACAATTCCAACTTTTAAGCATTATCATCATCTCCTTATCTTTTCATCAATCTCATTTCAAAGGATAATTGCACAAATAAGACACATGGAAGGTCAAAACCCTCAAACCTTCCAAAAATATCCTTTCACCACAAATACTTTAAAACTAAGATTGCTTCAAGTTGAACTCCTCTAGGGAAATAAATGGACACAGTCATGCGGAAGAGGTTGTGTCGCCTTTATTTTTCCCCCAGGAATTTTTAGATTAGCTAACCAAGAACACTTAACCAACTTGAATAGAATAGAATAGAATAGAATAGAATAGAATAGAATAGAATAGAATAGAATAGAATAGAATAGAATAAGGAATCAAATCGAATAGAATAAGGAACAGAATAGAATAGAATGAGATAGAATAAGGAATAGAATAGAATAGAACAAGGAATAGAATAGAATAGAATAGAATAGAATAGAATAAGGAATCAAATCGAATAGAGTAAGGAACAGAATAGAATAGAATGGGATAGAATAGAATAGAATAGAATAGAATAGAATAGAATAGAATAGAATAGAATAGAATAGAATAGAATAGAATAGAATAGAATAGAATAAGGAATCAAATCGAATAGAATAAGGAACAGAATAGAATGGGATAGAATAAGGAATAGAATAGAATAGAACAAGGAATAGAATAGAATAGAATAGAATAGAATAGAATAGAATAGAATAGAATAGAATAGACCTTGGAGGTTTTCTAGTCCAGACCCCTGCTCAAGCAGGAGAACCTATACCATCTCAGACAGGTGAATATCTAGTCTCTTTTTAAAATCTCTAGTGATGGAGCACCCACGATTTCTGGGGGTAATCTTGGCATCCAGTTTTGGTCACCACCATACAAAACTAATGTTGAGACTCTAGAAAGGGTGCAGAGAAAAGCAACAAAGATGATTAAGGACTGATGATGAACAGTTGTGGGAACTGGGTAAGTCTATTCTAATTAAGAGAAGGGTGGGGTGATATGGTAGGAGTCTTCCAATATTTGAGGGGCTGTCACCGAGAAGAGGGGGTCAGTCTATTCTCTAAAGGACCTGAAGGCAGGACGAGAAGCAACAGGTGGAAACTAATCAAGGAGAGAACCAACCTAGAAATAAGGGAGAATTTCCTGACAGTGAGAACAATTAATCAGTGGAATGGTTTGCCTCCAGAAGCGGTGGGTGCTCCTTCACTGGAGAATTTTAAGATGAGGCTAGGTAGCCATTTTGCCAGAATGCTATAAGGCTTCCTGCTTGACCAGAGGGGTGGACTAGAAGACCTCCAAGATGCCTCCCAAGCCTGTTATTCTGTATTCCAGTCTTCCTGGATAGTTGCAGACCCAAGCATTAGTCAGAGTCAAGCCTATTTAGTTTTGTTACCACACAAAGTCAGTTAGGTTGCTACCACTTTAATGGGGATCCCAGAAAGTCAATTTTATTGAACTTGGATCTCCTCAAACATAAGCACCCAATTGTTCTTTCCTGAAGACAATGGACATAGTGAAATAATAAAAAAGACAGGTAAGGAAGAGATCTGGTAGACAAGATATATAAAAGGCTATGAAATGGGCTCTGAAAGCTTTGGCCATATAATAATAAAAGTTAGAAGGGACCTTGCAGGTCTTCTAGTTCAACCCCTGCTCAGGCAGGAAACCCTATACCATTTCAGACAAATGGCTGTCCAGTCTCTTCTTAAAAACTTCCAGTGTTGGAGCATTCACCGCTTCTGGAGGCAGGTTGTTCCATTGGTTAATTGTGCTAACTGTCAGGAAGTTTCTCCTTAGTTCTAGGTTGCTTCTCTCCTTGATTAGTTTCCATCTGTTGCTTCTTGTCCTGCCTTCAGGCCCTTTGGAAAATAGCTTGACTCCCTCTTCTTTGGGGCAGCCCCTGAGATATTGGAACACTGCTATCATGCCTCCCCTCATTCTTCTCTTCATTAAACTAGACACACCCAATTCCAGCAACTGTTCCTTATATGTTTTAGCCTCCAGTCCCCAACATCTTTTTTACATCTTGGTGACCAAAACTGGATGCAGTATTCCGAGTTTGGCCTTACCAAGGCATTGTAAAGTGGTATCAACACTTCAGATAATCAGCATTGTGCCCCCATCAATTTCGGTCCTCATTTTACTGACCTCGGAAGGATGGAAGGCTGAGTCAGTCAGGATCGAACTCCTGGCAGTGAGCAGAATTATCCTGCAATATTGCATTCTAACCACTGTGCCATGCAGGCTCCTAAACCCTTTGAAGTCCTCTTTCCAGCTTCTCCACTCACTCCTGAATTAGGCATTCTGCCTACAGTAACATTAAATAAGATTAGTGCATTTGAAAGTTTACCAAGCAGTGTGCAAGACTTTTTTCCATTTCACTCAAGCTGGTTGGCAACTTCATGCTCACCTCCACATTCAATGTTCAAAGCCATTGAGAAGTGAAAGGGGATTACTCACAGCTCGCTGTGAGACTTTATGGAGGTAGCAGAACATTGGTTTAAACTGGTTTGAGGTTCTGCTCTGAGTTTTCATAACTGTTAGCACTGCTAACATTGGATGTTTAGCATTGACAACAGATAGAAATGTAGCCATCTTTTTCCCTTTTTCTATTAGAGTTAGATCATGCTGGGAGGAGGAGGGATGTGAATGAGAATCTAGCTAGACATAACAACACTAAACCTAGCATGAGAAACAAGGTTATTGTAACCAGAGCTGGAATAGGCGGGCTGGAGAACTGGAGAGGAAGCCTGTGCTTCAAGCTAATTGGAGAATGTGATTTATGACTGTTAATTGGAGGCGAGAATTGTGCTTTGATACTATGTGCCCAGGGGAGGGGAATTCAGTTTTTGTGTTCAATTATGCAGTGCCAATATTATGCTACTCAAATAAAAGATTCTTTTAGGTAAACAATGCCTCAAAGTTCTATGAAGAGTTTCATCTGTCATAACCATGACAATAACTTTAATTCACATGTACAACTGCTGGTAATTTGAAGAGTTCCCCCCTATCCCATACTGACAAATACACATATTTTCTTTTCTACTTTCATACTCTGGAACTTTCTGATCCTTTTTGGTTTTCCCATAAGTAATTTCTGATGTTTTTCACACTTCATCTTTGTTAGGTGGAGAAAGGGATTGGTTTTTTTTCCCCTCTTTCTCTTGGAGATCAATTTTTTAGAAACTTGCCCATTTACAAAACCAATCCTCTTATCTTTCAGGAACATTTTAAAATAAGCAAAACACTGATATGAAAGGAAGCAGTTTAAAAGTATAAGCTTTATTCAATTGGGCATTGATTCAACACTTAAGATTTTATTATATCCAGCATAGACTTGCTTGTGTTTGTTCACAAAAGGAAACCAAGCAAACAAAACACAGTCTCCCATCAAGTATCGGATTCAGTTCTTTGCATTTCTTCTTTTGTGGCCCAAATATGATCAAAGTCTCAATGGCTTAGCGGATCTCTCCTTCCTGAAATGAAATCTTTTGCTTCTGGCATCAGGAAGAAGTACTTTACCAATAAGAATATAAAATACGGGGTTGATGGTGCTGCTAACGGATGTGAGCACAAAGGCAAATACTGAGATGAGGGCAAAATGGTCACCTGGCGTAAGAAATAAGTATATGGGTCCCCAAGTGACCAGTGAAAATAAGATGCCCAGGACAATTTGTAGAGAGATTTTCCCTTGCTGGTGCAGAGTGCACCAAATCCTCATAATCAGGGTTTGAGAGGAGATGACCATAATGGGAATAAAAATCATGAGGAAGACAACAACGACGGTGTGAGGGTCAATCCTCAAGCTGAAGCAGAATAAGAGCTGGCAAGCTAGATGCCAGAAAAGGACAGACAAAATGGCAGGTATGGCATAGGACAGATGGGTTGAGAGTTGGCACTGATGCCAATTGGGGGAAAGAAGGGCAAAACACCAATCCACCCCGATGGATGTGAAAAAATGAACGATATAACCCTGCATGACCAGCAAGAGGTATGCCAAGGGTAGCAGCAATTTCACCAGGGCATCGCTGGAGTTCTCCCAAATATAGTTACTGAACGCTAAAAGGCAAATGCTGCACAGAAAGATAAGGACCCCAAAGCTACCAATGGCTAAATTCCAAATGCAGGTGTTCCACAAATTCCTCTTGAAGTGGAAGAGAAGAAAAAAGAAGAGGATTAGGTTTCCCAACAGGCCCAAAATGAAGATGAAGACCATGAACCCAGCTAGAATACGGTCTCTCAACAAACAGGCTAACAAGTCCATGATACAGTCACATTCAGAGCTCACAGAATGGGAAGCATTCCAGGTAAACATTGGGGAGAAGGATGAATTCAGTTCGCTCTTGTTAAAAAGGCCACTTCTGAAATGCTGCTTTTTCCCCAAATCGGTCTTGTCATCTGTAGGAAGATGTATGTTTTCCTAAAGGGAGAAAGAGAGAGAGAGAGAAGTAGCGGGAAAAAAATCAAATTTGGATTGGCAATGACGAACGGCTGAATGAGAAAATTAGAACATAGAATTACAGAGGTGGGAGGGACCTTGAAGGTCTTCTAGTCCAACCGCTGCTCAAGCAGGAGACCCTATACCATTTCAAACAAACAGCTGTCCAGTCTCTTTTTGAACCTCCAGTGATGGAGCACCCACAACTTCTGAAGGCAAGCTGTTCCACTGGTTGATTGTTCTAACTGTTAGGAAATGTCTCCTTAGTTCTAGGTTGCTTCTCTCCTGGATTAGTTTCCATCCATTGTTTCTTGTCTTGCCTTCTGGTGCTTTGGAAAATAGTTTGACCCCTTTCTTGAGCCCCTTAAATATTGTAACACTGCTATCATGTCCCTCCTAGTCCAGTGGTTCTCAACCTGTGGGTCGGGACCCCATTTGGGGTCGAACGTCCATTTCACGGGGGTCATCAAACAAGGCTGTCCGCCATTTTTTCCCCTTTTCTTTGGCCACGCCCCTGGCACCCGGTGATGTGTAAGTGGTTGGGGGTCACCACAACATGAGAAACTGTATTATGGGGTGGCGGCATTAGAAAGGTTGAGAACCACTGTCCTAGTCCTTCTTTTCACTAGACTAGACATACCCATTTCCTGCAACCATTCTTAATTAATTACCCTGTTGTTATTTTCCTCCCTCAAAGTTTTAATAGCTCTCTGCAATTATTTGATTTACAGTATGCCTCTTTTGTTTGTTTGTTTGTTTTAAAAAAATATTTAGTTTGTATTTTTTCTAATATAATGGTCAAGAAAACAAAACACGAAAAGTGTAAATAATAAAAAAAGAAACTGCACATATTTCATTCAGAAACCTATGAGGGACATACAGTTTTAAACATTCATTTTTTAATATTTTATTTTATGCAGTTATTAATTTTATATGCCACATATCTCTGTCAAGTGATATCACCAAAGGGCAAATGTTAAAACATTAAATATTGAAAACTAACAGAAATCGGGTTAGTTAAAAACCAATATTCAATATTATTATCCAAAAAGCCTTTTGAAAAAGGTCTTCTGCAGTCACGACATAAGCCTAAGACTGAAAATCAGGCTTGTCAGATGCTATATTTTTTCTATCCTGCTCTATGGAGTAGAGATTTGGTCTCTGACAGAAGGCCACCTGAAGAGACCAGAAGCATTTGAAATGTGGATTTACAGGCGGCTGTTACGTAGAAGCTGGGTTGACAAGATCAGAAATGAGGAGGTGAACAGCCGCCTGGGAAAGCCAAGGGAAATCATCAAAACAATTAAAAAATGAAAATTAGAATATTTCAGACATGTGATGCGACACCCAGAAAAATACGGTATACTCCATTTAATCCTCCAGGGAAAAGATTGAAGGCAAACGAGGTCCAGGCAGAAGAAGAACATTGTGGCTTCAAAATCTAAGGGACTGGTTTGGACAAAACTCAGTAGCACTTTTTGGTGCAGCTGCTGATAAAAACAGGATCGCCAACATGATCGCCAACGTCCGATAACGGATATGGCACAAGAAGAAGATTTGAATAGATAATCTTATTATTTCTATTTTTTTAAAAAAAATATCTAATGAAACAATAGAAACCAATGTGAATAAAACAAACCTCAATTCCCATATTTTGAGGCAGTATTGATCCAAAGAACAAAGCAAATTTTTATGGCTAAAGATCTAGAATCAGGTGGATAATATTAACAATTGAATCAATGTCTTCTTTTGTAGTGTCTTATATTGGCCAGGGAAAATGTTAATTATCCTTTTCAGGGATCCCATTATACTGGGTCAGTATTTTTCTGCCCCTACAGTTCAAAAATCAGACTCTGCAGATATAATATGGGAATCATGAATCTTGTCTTCACTAAAAGGAGACAGCTGATTGTTCTGTCACCCAGTAGACTCAGTAAAAAAGGAATCTAGACAAGGGTGAAATGACTTCACAGAGGAGAAGTTTGCTGTCCCCCTGTTCTTAGCTTCAGTTTGCAGCAGGCCAATTCATCTGGCAAAATCAGCATCTTCCTCATCCTTTCACTCACCTTTGCAACTGAACAGTTCAGCAAAACTGGGGATGTGACAGTGGCTTCTCTGATAATGCACCAAAGGCTGAGCCAGAAGAGAAATGACATCACTTCCTCTTTCCTTTTTCCTAAAGAAAGAAAAAAGATCAACTACACATGTAGCATATCAGTTTTGAGGGATTTATCTAGTCCAAGGGTCTTCAAATGTGGCCCTTTTATGACTTGTGGATTTCAACTCCTGGAATTCCTGAGTCAGCATGGCCGGTTCAGGAATTCTGAGTCCACAAGTCATAAAAGGGCCAAGTTTGAAGATCCCTGGTCTAGTCCAAGGGTAGGGAAACCTTGGCTCTTTCATGACTTGTGGACTTCAACTCCCAGAATTCCTGAGTCAGCATGGCTCAGCTTGGAAACCTCTCCATTTCCCCTCAGCACGGCTGGCTCAGGAATTCTGGTTATTGGAGTTCACAAGTCATAAAAGAGGCATGGTTGCCTACCCCTGGTTTAGTATAACAAAGAGAAGGACTAGGTCTTCCAATATTTGAAGGTACAAGTACAGATTTGGTGAAACCTGGTTTAAACACAGTAATTGTGAGAGGGAGCTTGGAGTCCTTGTGGACAATCACTTAAACACGAGCCAACAGTGTATGGCAGCAGCCAAAAGAGTTAATACACTGGTTGTATAAATAGAGGCATAGAATCAAAATAAGATGAAGTATTAGTACCACTTTATAAATCTTTAATAAGACCAACCTGGAATACTGCATCCATTACAAAAAGATGTTGAGACTTTGGAAAAAGTGCAAAGAAGAGCAACTAAGATGATTAAGAGCCTGGAGACTAAAACACATGAAGAATGGTTGCAGGAATTGGGTACAACCAGTCTAGGGGTAACATGATAACAGTATTTGAGCGGCTGACACAAAGAAGAGGGGGGCAACTTATTTTCCAAAGCACCATAGGGCAGGATAAGAAACAATGGATGGAAATTAATCAAGGAGAAAAGCAACCTGGAATTAAGGAGAAACTTCCTAACAGTGAGGACAATTAACTAGGTTTTTCAGAAAAGACTGGACAACCACCTATAGGGTCTTCTGCTTGAGCAAGTGATTGGACTAGAAGACCTCCAACTCTATTCTGAATTATTCTGAACAAACTTAATCAAGCCAAGGGTGATTAACCATCTATAACTGATGGTTAAGAAGGTTGTGTAAACATAGCAATGGAAAAATCACAAATAAGCCCTGAATTGTGATCATATTAACAATAGAACGCACTATGAAAGTTGATTCTGTATATAATGGTCTTCTAGATCAGTGGTTCTCAACCTTTTTAATGCCGTGACCCCCCCCAACCAGTCGTAAGTCGAGGACTACTCAACTGGTTGTAAGTCGAGGACTACTCAACTGGTGCAGCACCGTTTGCAGAATGGGACTTTTGGCAGGCTCAGCAGGGCAGAGACAGCCTGGACAATTCCTATTGGCTTTTGAAAGCCAATAGAATTAGACTCTATTCAAGAGAGTCTATTCTATTGGCTTTCAAAAGGAAAAGGGGGGAAAAATGGCAGACTGTGTTGTTTGGCGACCCCCATGAAATGGCCATTCGACCCCAAATGGGGTCCCGACCCACAGGTTGAGAACCACTGTTCTAGATGATAATACGAGACATAATGGGAGACTTGAAGTCATCCTATGAAAATGAGATACCATATTTTCCCATGTATAAGACGCTATTTTTTCCTGCAAACACCCTGTTCAAAAATCAGGTGTGTCTTATACAAGTGCAGCATGTTATACACGAAAAAAATAATGTTAACCTCTGCAGCCCAGGGTATGCCTGTGTGGGTTCTTTACATGCTATTTCCATGCTGCCTGGTGCAGGTGTCAAGCCCCTGTGGGCTTGCCACTAACGGGAGGGAGGAGGGGCCAAGATCGTCGGATGGCGGCATCCGGAGGCAGCGGAAGGGACAAGCAGCATGGATGTCAGCAACAGCCCTTTCTTTCATATCTGTATGGTGGCCGGGGACCCTGTGGAACGCAACTGTGAGGCCATCCTGCTTGATAATAGCGGCTGGCCGAACTTCCAGATTTGCCAGCTCAGCTGTTTGGCGCAATGCCGAACAGCTGGTCAGCATGGAGAAATGGCGGGGAGTTTAAAACCTGCCTTTGCTTTCCTTGCTTTGCTGTCATGCCGGTGCTCACGCCGGTTTGTTTACCAGGGTTGGGAGGATGCTGCTGTGAACTGACTATGCATGCTCATCATGCTGGATCCTGGTTAGGTGGGTGGAGGGTGGGGCTGGCTGGGAGGCATCTATTTAGAGCGCTGGGGAGGCGGTTGCTCCCAGCGCTGACTTTGTTTGCTGAAAGCTTGGAACTCGCATGCCAGAGCGTCTTATACAAGGGTGCGTCTTATACACGGAAAAATACGGTAAATCATGACTATCTAGATCAGGCATGTCAAACTCGCGACATCACGTGATGACACGTGATGTATTGTGACTTTTCCCCCATTGCTGGCAACGGGGTGGGTGTGGTTTCGGCATAATATATCTCTCCCGTGGGCCGGCAATTTGACATGCCTGCTCTAGTTCAAATCTAGCTGACGCCCTGCTCTGAACTCATATCTGAATTACAAAAATCAACTAGGGAACAAAGGGGATCCAAACCTTTTATAGGAAACTTGAGATCCTGCTATGTTCCTGTTATTTTTAGGCTTTATTATTAGCATTTAAATAAAGGTGATATTAGCATTTGAACATGGCAACCGTGCCTCATTTTGAAGATCAGGAAAGCATGTTTTTGAGCCCAAACCATTTTCTATGACGTGCAAAAGCTAACCGTTTCAGCAACCAAACAATAGGGCAGCATTTTGAAATCCTTGATTAAAGTTGCAAGGGTTTTAAACAGCAAACTGGTTGGGAAATGAAGAGATGTCATATATTGTCTTATGTCTGGGTATATTACCCAGGTAGTATAGCTATATTATTTTTATCTTCTCATCTGTTCCACTATCTTCTCTATTACTATTATGTTTATTATCCTTTGTTATTATGTTTATTATTACTTTGTTGTTTTGCATGTACACTAAGAGCTTATGAACCAGAGACAAATCCCTTGTGTGTCTATCACACTTGGCCAATAAAGAATTCTATTTATTCTACTCTATATTTTAACAGAATATGTTTTTTTTATCTTCTCTCACCTTTAACAAAGCACATTAATGCCTTTTATTGTTTGAAGTGTCATTTTCTGATGTATCCTATATATCAAATGTATGAGTTATTTGCTTATGTACCCTATATAAAGGCTTGACCACCCTTTTAATAATTCCCTTTTGCTCTGTCTGTAGTACTCATGATTCTTATTATTATCTGAGGGCAAAAAAAAAAGACCTGTTTGCAAAGGTATTGGATATTATTCTTTCAAATTCAGGGGCTGTTTATTTATTTTATTCATCAAACAAAAATTACAAATTTGAACCAAGAAAAGACACGGTCTTTCCAGCTCCGTGCCAGCTCAGGTGCTCAGGAGTTTTATTGTGGCATAAAAAAGAAAGATTGTGAAACAGACAGCTCCCATTTATACTTTAGGAAAGATAATCAAGACATCCCTTGTTCTCATGAGTCCACCAGGATCCTAACCATGAACACAGAAAGATACAACACAAATGATAAACTACTGTTGGAAATAGGTTTAACGATATCTCTGAGTGAATGTGAGTCTGTATTTCAGACTTTTCCCATCTATCCTACCAGTTCTGTGGTGTTGCTTTGAGGTTTCTCTCTAACTCTTTCCCGGTTGTTTTTACCCTTCCGATCTCTTTTGCTTCTTCTCTTTTGCTGTCTTTTCCCCCCCCCCCCAACTGTCATTAACAGTAACTTGGTTCTGTCTCCACATTCTAGAACATTTCTGTCACTGCTCTTACATTCCACCCACTATGATGCTACAAAATGATCTTTCAAAATTCTCTACCCTATTTGAAAGAAGAAAATTTATCCATTGGTTTCCATCAGTTGGAGGACTAAGGCAAATCTTCCCATTTTTAGTATCTTAAAACACATATAGAGGCAATATTTTTACTAGGTCATCTGAAGAAATCATGGGCGCTCCACCACTGGAAGTTTTTAAGAAGAAACTAGACAGTCGCTTGTCTGAAATGGTATAGGTTCTCCTGCTTGAGCAGGGGGCTGGACTAGAAGACCTCCAAGGTCCCTTCCTATTCTATTCTATTCTATTCTATTCTATTCTATTCTATTCTATTATGAGATGCCAACATGTCTTTGACTCTGGATTTCCAATAATTACCTTAATAATGTATATTAATAAATAAAATTAATTAATAGTAATGAATAATGCACCTGAAGGCAGGACAAGAAACAATGGATGGAAACTCATTAAACATAAATCCAACCTAGAACTAAGGAGAAATTTATTGACAGAATAATTAACCAGGGGAACAACCTGCCTCCAGAAGTTGTGAATACTCCAATGCTTGAGGTGTTGAAGAGACTGGACAGCTATTTGTCTGAAATATTATAGGGTTTCCTGCTTGAGCAGGAGGTTGGACTAGAAGACCTCCAAGGTCCCATCCAACTCTATTTTTCTGTTATTCTGTAACTGAAATTATGTCAACACAAAACACAATTTAAAAAGCACTTTCTTTTCTGGAAAAGAACTATCCTTTTTTAAAAAGCAATTCCAAGGCCATTTCACAGTTGATGTGTAAATCTCTTTTTATAATTAATTTCACTTAAGGAAATTCAGGCAGGAAAATTCTCCTGAACATTTCCTCCCCACCTTTCAGTTCTCATTTGATCTGGTAAAATAGAATTGGCTTTTCAAATTTCTTTCAGAGGAAAAAGAATTTCAGAGAGTTTTTCATTGACAACGTGTGCAGTTACCACTACTGCGATTTTAGGCCGTCCTGAATGTGTGAGTGTTCTGTCTTTCACTGACAAATGTTCTTGGCTTCCCAAGTGAATTGCGAGAAACGCCAGGAGGAAATTTCTGCCATGGATTTTGTGTGCTGCTGTTGTATCTTTTAGTAGAATCAAGATCACGTGAAGTATTAATACCACTTTACAATGCCTTGGTAAGGCCACACTTGGAATACTGCATCCAGTTTTGGTCACCAAAATGTAAAAAAGATGCTGAGACTCTAGAAAGAGTGCAGAGAAGAGCAACAAAGATGATTAGGGGACTGGAGGCTAAAACATATGAGGAACGGTTGCTGGAATTGGATATGTCTAGTTTAATGAAGAGAAGGACGAGGGGGAACATGATAGCAGTCTTCCAATATCTCAGGGGCTGCCATAAAGAAGAGGGAGTCAAGCTATTCTCCAAAGCACCTGAAGGCAGGACAAGAAGCAACAGATGGAAACTAATCAAGGAGAGAAGCAACCCTAGAACTAAGGAGAAACTTCCTGACAGTTAGAATAATTAACCAGTGGAACAGCCTGCCTCCAGAAGCGGTGAATGCTCCAACACTGGAAGTTTTTAAGAAGAGACTGGACAGCCATTTGTCCAAAATGGTATAGGGCAGTGATGGTGAACCTCTTAGAGACTGAGTGCCAAAAACACCTGCCTCCCTGCCTCACCCCGCTCTGTGCCCAATTTGCCATGCCTCCACTTATGGGCTATAACTAGATATCTATATTTGGAGGTATGGTCAGATTTTTAAACCAGTAGGAGGAAAACTCATGGATGTCCATTTGCTTCACTTGGCACAAAGGTGGACTCCTATGAACAACTCAATTCAGATCATTTGTGTGAGAGAAAGAGGGAGAAGACAGTTCCTCCCTAATAATTCCCAGAGTGTATGCTTTACAGCAGGCATGTCAAACTGCCGGCCTGCGGGCCGGATGCATCACGCCACAAATGTGCCCACCCCATTGCTGGCAATGGGGGAACAGTTCTGATATGTTGCGCGACATCATGTGACATTGCGAGTTTGACATGCCTGCTCTATAGGGATGGTTAGTCTGCTTTAGTTTGGCAAGATTCCATCTTTAGGTGAGGAACAATCAAGAAATCTGTTGGGAACAATCACAACTTGCCTTTCTTGATTTTTGGGGCCTGATGAATTTTCTTAGATGTTGGAAAAGTTCTTCCTCTAAATGAAAGGATTATGACACTATGTTGAAGTCAAACCATTCTCTCTAAGGCAACTGGTGAGGTGAGATGTACCCCCAATACATTGACAACAGAAATCTTTTCTCTTTGTTTTCCAAACTCTTTTTCTAATAGCAATTTGGGCAGTTGGTGTGCTTCTGAAAGAGGAAGCACTTCCTGACACTCAGGAGAGATGTTTTATTGGGAAAAATTCCAGACAAACCATCAGCCTTTTACATGCAATTCTGTGGATCCTCTTTAATAATAATCACTTAGGAAGGACTGCCAAAAGAGAAAAATGTTATTTGGATAGCTTTGCAGATTGATTCAAAGAATTGGAATTGGATGTTCTTCTATGTGTGTATTTTTTGAAGGGAGTGTTTTATGTTTTTAATGCCATTTTTATTTCACATGGCATCTTTCACTCAATAAACCCTTCAATTATCTTTGAATGTGACTTGTGAATGTGAGGAGGAGATCTGCCAGTTGTGCCATATATTTACTCCATGGATTGAATCAAGATACGAAGCACGCCAACAATGACAAACGATACCAATAAAGGAGAATATTTGTAGCTTAGGGTTGAAATGAGGGGTCCTTTTTTTATTGAAAAATTTTAAAAACTTTTGCAAAGACAGAAAAAAAAACAATAACAAACAAAAAAAAAACAATACAACCCTCCCCCAACCCCTCCCAAACTACCCCCTCCCTCCCCCCGGAGCTTCCCAGAGCAGAATATAGGCTTAATTAAAAGAAATTAACAAAATTATAAGATAATTAAGAATAAAATATATATGAAAAAAGAGTTATAAACCTTAAAAAGAAAAAGTATTTAAAAAAGAAAAGCAAAGAAAAGAAAAAGAAAAAGTAGAGTTTTTATACAAGTTATAAAAAAGCTAAATGATATTTTTTCATATCCAATTTAAATTTTATAAAATTTATCCATTTCTCCCATACAGCAAAAAATTTCTCTTGCGTTTGCTCTTTTAAGAAAGCCGAAATCTTTGCCATTTCCGCCAAGTAAGATATTTCTCTTGCAAAGTAGGCAAAGATTCCTTCTTCCAGTATTGACCTACTAACAGCCTTGCGGCTGTAATCAAATTCAACATCAATATAACCTCCTTAGCATCACAAAGTACCAAGCAAAAACAATTGTGGAGTAAATTTTACCCTCTTTCAAATTCTCTGATTCCACCCTAATCTTTTATATTTTTCCAAATATGATAATAAGTTGACCTACTAACAGCCTTGCGGCTGTAATCAAATTCAACATCAATATAACCTCCTTAGCATCACAATCAGTAACAATACCAAGCAAAAACAATTGTGGAGTAAATTTTACCGTGATTTTAACTGCCAGTTTTGTCCATCCCATCTAAGTAATTAAGACACCATATCCATTTTAGCACCTCTTTTTATTCCTTCTATCGCATGCCAAGGTATAGCCCATAATGGTACTTTAAAATCACTTTTATAATCACAATCAGTAACAATACCAAGCAAAAACAATTGTGGAGTAAATTTTACCCTCTTTCTAAAAATTCTCTGAATGTTCCACCATATCTTAATCCAAAAAGCTTTTATATTTTTACACGACCACCAAATACGATAATAAGTGGCATCCAGGCAGCCACATCTCCAACATTTAGGCTGTAAGTCAGGATACATGAGAGACATCTTTTGTGGATCAAGGTGCCATCTGTAAAACATTTTATAAAAATTCTCCCTTAAATTCTGGGCTTGTGTAAACTTAACATTTCTCACCCAGATAGTTTCCCAGGTATCCAGTAGAACTGGTTCACCAAAATTCTGCGCCCATTTAATCATACAGTCTTTAATTAATTCTGATTCTGAATCCAGTTCCACTAGCACCCCATAAATTCTCTTAATGTGAGTTTGTCTTTGATCCTTTACTTGCTTAAAAAGATTTTCATCTTGGACTAGGGTCCTTGAAATGAGGGGTCCTTGGTGCTCTCTGAGCTTGCTTGTTTTCTTGCAGATGTTTCATTACCCAAACTAGATAACATCATCAGTTCTAGACCAGCAGTGATGATGTTATCTATCCTGGGTAATGAAACATCTGCAAGAAAACAAGCAAGTTCAGAGAGCACCAAAGACCCCTCAATGACTTTTTGAATAGGTAGCAATGAAGCAATGACAGACAGACAGACAGATGATGATGTATGGATGGATATATAGATGGATGGATGGATGGATGAATATATGGATGGATGGATGCAAAGAGAGAGACAGACAGATGTTGATGTATGGATGTATGGATGGAGAGAGAGAGAGAGAAACAGACAATGATGTATGGATGGATATATGGAGGGAGGAAGGGAGGGAGGGAGGGAGGGAGGGAGAGATAGAAAGAGAGAGAGAGACAGACAGGCAAAGAGAGAGAGAGAGAGAGAAACAGACAATGATGTATGTATGTATGTATGTATGTAAAGAGAGAGAGAGACAGACAAACAGACAACGATGGATAGATGGATATATGGATGGATGGATGGATGGATGGAAAGAGATAAAGACAGAGACAGAGAGCAGACATATAGATGTAGCCATGCTAAGTGCCAGAAACATCAAAAAGGAGTATGAGAAGCTGGACATGAAGTACTAGACAGGATATTGAAAGGAAATGTCAAAATTGTCCCAGTGGTGATAGGGGCACTCAGGACTATGACTCCTAAACATGTCACCCTTTGAATCTTGGTTGCTTGATTCCAGATATTTCAT